AAACTGAATTGTTAAAAAGGAACCGTGTCGATTTTAATCACAGAGTTATAAAAAGTAAAAAGAAAAAATGATGTTTTTGAAAAAAGAAAAGAAAAAAAGGAGAGAAGCAAATGAAATATTAGACGGGAAATACGCGATGCACTTTTAAAGCCAATGTTAACGATGGTTTTGACATGACCATGATGGTGGTGGTGGTGGTCTCTTTGGCACCAGCTGCAAGATTCTCTCAAAGTTAAAGATTACGAAGGCACATGCCATAGTCTTTGGACCAATACACTGAAACACTTGGGAACTCTCAATGGTACTACTCTTGAAGGTGTAACTTTCGTGGTCTCCTAACAATTTACCATGTTAACGTTAGGGAGTGAGAGAGAGAGAGAGAGAGTTAGGTTGGAACGATCGAAGAAGCCAAAGCGACGTATCGAGAATACTGCGAGTTTCTAATGTCCTTGGATTAGTCTCGCGACGCCGTTTGCTGTGTTAATTGTACTTAGAATCGTTATAGTTCGGAGTCTTATGACTTTCAATTTTGGGAAATGTGTGATATCATTTTAGAGCATTGCATTTTCTATGCTTCCTATCTTATCCTCCTTCGTTTTCCTTCTTTTTCTTCCTTTTTATTTTTACATTTTAATATTTCTTATAAAATACAAGTTACTACTCACGATCGAGTTACCGTTGATCAATAGAACAACGTCGAACAATATTAAACGTTAAGATATTTCACTTCTCTAATTCAGACCAGTTTCAGCTCTTCTCTCAACATTCAGCATAACTAAGACGTCGTAGATTACTTCGGCTCATTCCGCTTTAACGGGCAAACTTTGAGCGAGTAATCGGTAGTCAAAGTTTTGGAGACGCTTTGCGCAGTGCTAATTGAGATTTCGCTATTATCCCTCTTACCGCCTCTTGCTCTCTTTCTCTCTCCTCCATCTTCTGGAATTCCTTCAGCCATGAACAACTTTGAATCATCGAAATATAAATGAGCTAATCGTGAAAGATGAAACTACGATTTTCTCTGCTACGTTTCCAAACTTACTTTCTTCTTCTTCTATTTCTATATATATACACACACATATATATATATATATAATCAAAAATGAACGGTCGTATCTTTGTCCTAACCAGAGATATCCATATATCCGAACTGTCGTAATACGTCATACTATATAAATTGTCTTCGGTACCTTTGAATTTCACCGACGGAGTATTAATAGGACTAAGGTAAATTACTACTCCTTTGACCAGCTCGAGTTGAGTTTGACATGACAAATGTCCAACCTTCAGTCGTCTCTCTCTCTTTCGTTCCCTATCAAACTATCCTTTGGACGTTTGCTAAAATATTAACCTATAACTACGTACAATAGAGAGAAAGAGAGAGCGAGAGAGAGAGAGAGAGATCATGTTAGCTAGTGCACTCGTTACGTCCCATGAATGGAATAGTTTCTTTGTGATAAGAATAGAAAGAGAGAGAGAGAGAGAGAAAGAGAGAAGGGAAGTATATATTAATGGAGGTACTTGAAACTCTGAGCTATTTGGTTTTGATTAATTCAATGCAAACACTCTGACAAGGAAGAAGAAGAAGGGAAGGGAACGATGAGTAAAGTTTCCTTTTCTAACGACGAAGTAATCATTTGCAATCAGCAGGCATTCGACAGTCCTTTAAGAGACAGATTACGTAGAGTTTGGCTTGAATGAACGTCGAATGAATCCTCTTGCTTGCATTATGTATATATAGATAATCGGTGTGTGTGCTTTTCCATCTGTCTATGTGTCGGTATATTCTATCTCCATCTCTCTCCCTGTCATTACATAGAGTTCCGACCTGCACTTCGGTAAATCCTCGAAACGCAAGCTAGTTTGCATTCTCTTCGACTTTGAAACGAGTCCACCGGGGAAGAAGGAAGAATGGTTAAATAATGGAGAGTATTATTCCGGTGAAGCAATCGTCCTAACGTTAACGAGTACGAGAGAACAAGAACTATCTTGCAGGGCAACAAGCTTACGAGGAATCATGACTGTCTTTTTTTCTTTTTTTTTTTTTTTTTTTTTGGTCGTACTAAGAGTCGAATATTTTTAATGATTAAATGCTCACTCTCTCTCTCTCTCTCTCTCTTTCTCCTCTTTGTTTTGCTTTTGAAAATATTTTCTCACTCTTTCGTATCTTGCTAGTAAACTAGAGATAGATAGAGTGCGTAGGAAGGTCTAGGAAACCTTATCGATGCGAACACAAATCCAGAAGAGTTAATCTAATTAAAATATCGCTATGGCATCGCTGACATCGGAGTCTTTTCTCCGACGACAAAAGAGATAAAGAGAAATAGAGAGAGTAAGACTGGAGTGAAACGAAAAAAAAATGGTCAACACTTTTCGAGGTAAGATAACAGAAAGAAAAGTGAGAATTCTACCGGAATGTTACGTTAGACAGAGAGAATATCCTCCGGGTCTGACGTTGATAACGACATTATTTGTCGCATCGTTTATCGTTGAAAATGTTTCCCTTTTCCTTCGTTTCTCCTTTTTATCCTTCTCGTTCCCTTAGCTCTCGCTACGTTCGTCCCGTACGCATTTGCTGCCGGCGATAGGAGTGTTAAATCACGAGGGCCACGTTGCGAGCGGGCTTAGCCAAAGCAAAAGAATCATTTGTCAAGGGAGAGAATAAAGTTGCCAGCTCGTAAAGATTATCAAACCAACCATATCGTTCTCTTTTCCTCGTTTTTTTTTCTTTTTCTTTTTCTTTTTTCTACTCTCTATTTTTTATTCTCTCCGTAACATTCCTAACTACGTGATATAACACCTTCGTATATTATATACACCTAGGAGTTTACAAATTTGGTTACGTGCGCTTGACGCAATTAACACTTCTGGTGTTATGCTTGTGTCGGATAATGCCAAAAATACCTTGGAGATCGATCCCCCTTCTCGTTTGTTTGAAACGTATTTTTCGTGTCGTTTTTCCTTTTTGTACGAGATCGGATGGTAACTAACAGTAGCTTTGGGATTTCGTTGATGCGAAACGCTTTTATAGCGTCTCGTCGTTCGTAATACTCGCTTCTATCGGCTTTCACCGTTTCTCTCTCCAATTTCGGATATGAAAGGGATGTTTTCACTTCCTCTCTCTCTCTCTCTCTCTCTCTCTCTCTCTCTCTGTCTGTGCAGCAGCAAGATGAAGTCGAATTCGACGCGTTATATGCAAAGTGTGAGTTTGCTTTGGGGTTTGTGTAATTTCAACGCTCGGTTCAATTATTTTCCATGGGGAAACGAGAATGTAAAGATTCGTATCATGGGACAATGCTTCTACAGAGAATAATACTTGATCTCGATCAACATAATTTCTCTCTCTCTCTCTCTCTCTCTCTCTCTCTCTCTCTCTCTCTCTTTCTCTGTGCATCGATCTGTCTATCTATCTATATTTATATTAATGCATATATTTATTGGATATATCCTCTGCAATATTGATATTTCTAGTGAAAAGAGAATATTCCTAGTCCTTTCTCATTCATTCATTCATTCATTCATTCATTTGTTCTTTTTTAATCTCAAACTGCAGAGAAACGTTTACGAATTTATCGATTCTCCCGTACAATTCGTCCGCCGTTAAAGTCAGCCAATATTCGCTAGGAGACGAAAGGACGTATTTGAACTTTTTTTTTATCGAAAGCAAACAAAGATGTGTATATATATGTATATATATATATATATGTCGTTTGGTAGTCAGAGGACAATTTTGTAGCAGTGATTCATAGTCAGGAGATTGGGAATAACGTTGGAAGCACACCGGTCAGAGATATCTCCTGCGTTGGAGCGTGCAATATCGGGTTTTGGTATCTCTGCCGATTCCTCCCTTCTCTTCTCCTCCTTCTCCTCCCTACCCTTCTCTTCGCTGCAGTTAGCAACCTCCGTCTCTTCTTCGCACTGACTGGACGTTCGCTTGATATATTACAGGAGCCGTTTATTACCTCTGACCGATAATGTTTTGCTTTGTTTCACGGTTGTGCATGGGATCTATCTGGTATTGTCCACTTCGTACCATCGACTAACAAGCTGTGCCAACGATGACCATCAGAGAGAGAGAGAGAGAAAACGTGTGGTAACTGCACCGGTGACGTGTTCGTCATTTATCTTCCTCGACACCTCGATCCGATTTCGATTTATTTTCGAGTATGCAAGGCAAAGATTCTCATTTTTATTCGAAAATATCGTTCCACCTCCCTACCTCCCTGAACTTTTGCTTTATCCTGATCTCTCGTATAAATAATGATGAAGTATGGGAATTTTGAAAAAAAAAAAAAAAGAGAAAAAAAAGAAAAAAAAAAGATAGAATCTCTGATATGAGTGTGTAACGAAAGGAGAGATTAGAAAAATTGGCGATAAAATAAAGGTTATTTAAATGCATTTTAATATAATTAATTACGTTTGATCAAAGAACGAAGATAATGATAAAAGAACGTGAGAAAAATGCATAATCCTGTGCTTATTCTTCTCTCGTAAGTAGAAAAAGTTAGGATCGTGTACTCTAATCTTCCGTTAGTTTGATAAGTCATCACGGTTCGTTGCTTTGCGCTGTATTCAACGCTCCTAGTATTCGCAACGATGTGAGCTTTCCAGTACGCTCGAAGCGAAGCTTAATTAAATAGCGGCCAAACATCCTGCCGGAATGTTCCTACCGAGTTATTACGCGTGACCTGTTCTCTCTCTTTCTCTCCCTAGCGTGTAATGCGGTTGCCATGATTTTAATCGGACTAATATGTGGCCCTCATCCTTTTTTGCGAATGAAACCCAACTATACCTATCTGACCTCATAAACTCGTTCTATTTTTGCCGTACAAAGGGTGGTAGTATTTCTTTTTATTTTATTTTTTTTTTCTTTTTTATTTATTTATTTATTTATTCATTTATTTTTTTTTCCCCCCTTTGTTTATAGACGATCCTAGTTTTACGCCGTTCCGTCGGCCCTGTCTGAATGTTTTATTAATGTTTTCTTGATTTTTCTTTTTCAGATGAAAATACGAGAAGGGAGGGGACAACTGTGACGGCAAACTGTGTTTCATGCGAGGCTGTAATCATAAAAAGGTGATAGAAATCATTTCTATATTCATCGTTCGAATGACACGAGGAGAGTCGACAAAGGATTCATCCACTCTTCCATTTTTTTTTTTTTTTTTTTTTTTTTGAAAGACGTTCACATTTATATATGTCAGGGTATTCTTGCTAATGTAACGAGGAGCTGCCGAAGACACATGTTCTTTGGAAAATTCAATCGTCGAACGTCCATTAAAATTCCAATTTTTTCTCCCGCTCTCATTCTCTCTCTCTCTCTCTCTCCCCCCTCCTTTCTTTTTTGTCCCCTTTAACAGGATAGAATCTCCCTCGTAAAATTCGTGAGAATTACACGGGTGGTTCCGGTTAAGAGAAGGAGAAGCCGATCGTGAGAGGAAGGTAGATAGGAAAATGGCTGAATAAATTCTAAATTATTCCGTTCGCACGCGTCGAGTTTTCGCGAAAAATGCTTGGCATTTTAATAGAGGTTGCGGTGCTATTGTGGCAACTTTAATTAAATCATGTTCCACGCTTGAAAGTAGAATGTTTTATGTGTACCCGTGTGTTTAGTATCGCGAGGTTGGCAGTAAAGGAAGGAAGGAAGAAAGGAAGGAAGAAGAAGAAGAAGAAAAAGAAATTGAAACGTAGAAGGAAGGAATGGTTTTTAACAGAAAACGAAGAAGCAACTTGTCGGAGTTTGTATAAAACGTTAATTGCGTGAGGAACAAAGAATCTCGAAGAAGTGTTTGGGCTCTTGTCTGCTGCTCTGCTTGCTTCCTACGTATATATATATATATATATATATATATATATATATATATATATATATATATATATATATACATACACACACACATACATACACACGCGCGTGCGTTATCTACCTACACGCGCAGAAAGAAGTGACTACGCAAACGTCGTAATTTATTAATTCGAGAGTAACATGCGCGTCTTAGTCGTCGTCGTCATCGTCGTTGTCGTCGTCGTCGTCGTCGTCGTCGTCGTCTTCATCGTCGTGTTTCGTGAGAAAATGAGAGGAAAACGAGCCTACTGGACGCTCACTTAATCTCATATCATCGTTACCGCGAAACGAGTTAAGTTACTAACGAGCTCTTCAGGGGAAATAAAAAGATGCGTTTTACGTGTATGTTTGTTTAGTGTGTTTAGTGTGTTTTATGCATGCACCGTTTATTCGCGTGCTCGCAAATTTCTCTTAAGTTATTCGCGTCTTAAGAGATTCATTTAAAAGAAAATGTCGGCTGTTGATTAGCTATTTTCCTTTCGATTCTCTTTCTTTCTTTCTTTTTTTCCTTTTAAAATTATAATTGGAAAAGAAAATTAGAAAATTATCAAATATCTTTATAAAATGATTGATTAATGCTCGGAGATTTGTTTTCATTTCATTTGGCGCGTCGTTTCATTGATTTCTCTTCTTCGTATCAATCTCTATTTCTCTCGGACAGAGAGAAAGGGGCCTCGATTGTCGAAACCACCACCAGTAAACTCGCTTTTCTATTCTTTTCGAAACGTGTTTGGGAAAACGCGCGCCGACTCTACCCGACGAATTAATAGAACGTAAATTCACCGCGCTTGGTCTCGAAGAGCGAACGTTCCTGCTGCTGTTGCTGTTAGTGATGGTGGTGGTGGTTGTGCCGTTGCTGTTGCTGTGGCTGTTGCTGTTGCTGCTGTTGCTGCACTGTGACTGTTATTTCGTGAGCGCACGCTCCTGTCGATTTTGTCGACTCGGCCCGACACGCCCCCGGCACTCGTCGAGTGCACACGATTTTCCAATGTAGGGAAGGAAATTTCGTGCGCGTTGCTTGTTCTGTCTCGAGTCTGAAATAAAATCGAACTTTTCAGGGATTTATTTTCATTCGGAAACGAGAACGGAAAGCGTTCGTTTGCTGAAAATCTCATCCTTTGAAACTTTTTCTCTCTCTCTCTCTCTCTCTCTCTCTCTCTGTGCTTTCTTTCTCTGTCGTCTCTTTTAAGCGAAATAAAGAGAAAAATAAATAAATAAATAAATAAATAAATAAATAAATATAAATATTTTTTTATATAAATATTTTTCCAGGGTTTGAGGAAAAATCTCTTAAAATAGCGATGTTTTGAAGAAGATTTTTTTCTTCTTTTTTTCCCTTTTTTTTTCATTCTATTTTTATCTATTTTTATCTTTGTTCGCAGAGCAGGAAAGAGGATATATAAAAGTGGTAGAGATGCGTCGCGCGTCGTCCTTCGTACTATTTTCCATTCATTCTTTTTCACTGGTCTTAAGCAAAGCACGAAATTAAACATTTCTACGAGCTTTGATACGTATATTTTCAAGAGGAAAAGGGTAGTTCGCGTGATCGTGTCAATCGTTCGACGAGAATGAAGCACTAGATATGAGACGAACTAGATGAGAGATATAGGGCTTGCGAAAGATTCAACATCGACAACCTTTGATATACGCGAGCAAATGAGAACTCGTTCGTTCATTCGTTTGATTCTCACGTTATCAGATACATTATATCGAGGTTGTGTGCCGTTCCTAAAGATCCATCGATAAATTCCGATAGGTGCGGAAGGAGTGCATTGCCGTTCTAAAAATGCCATTTCTCTCTTTCTCTGTCTCTCTCTCTCTCTCTCTCTCTCTCTCTCTCTCTTTCTCTTTCTCTTTCAACGATACAAATAACGATAGCGGTAAATCACTCGACCATTTTATCACGTAGAAATTTCTTGCGTATTTTTCATGAAACACGATAAACTCAAATCGATTAATCGAAATACACTTTTCGTTTTTGTTTTTTCCTTTCTCTCTTTTTCTCTCTCTCTCTCTCTCTCTCTCTCTCTCTCTTTCTCTCTCTTTCTCTTTAAATATGATAGACGACGATCGATTAGCCGACTTAAAATTAATTTTGTTAATTCGTCGAATCGTTCTACGGAAAAAGATTAATGTACACTCGTTTTTTTTTTATCTGCGCGCAAAAGTGTCAAGTCCATGTGAAAGAAACCGCGCCTACTTGTAATCTCTTTGATGGAAATCCCCTTACCACACTCGGACTATCGATCAGAGTATGCTCGGTATCCGCTTACACGCTGTTACGCCACCTCTTTGAAGATCCACGTGCAAGATATATCACGTCGCTATGAGAATTTTTACAGATTTATCTCGTTGCTACAAGGAAAAATATGTGCATATTTCGTAGAAAATTTTATATTTCGTATATATATGTATGTATGTATATATGTATATATATGTATATGTATACAACCAAACTACTTCCTTTGAATTATGTATAAAAATTGATCCATTATTCGTAGTAGAAACCACAGTGCAGGGATATAAAAATAAATATGTCGATCATTCGGATCTTTTCCTTATAAAAAAAAAAAAAAAAAAAAAAAAGAAAAAAAAAGAGAGAGAGAAAAAATAAAAGAAGCACGTTAATCGAAGCCGACGAATTTGGATTTATTCTCGAAATAAAGAGAATAATGTAGGGTGACGGTTTTAATTTTATCTCAGACACGATAATCATACATTTGGACCTATTTAATTACCCATAAATAGATTCGTGATATATTCTAATGTCAATCGTAACGGTTTTACGTACCTTCAATGATGATTAAGTACACGGATCATAAATGATACACGGAGAGATTAAACCAAGCCGATACGTTCGCGTTGACATTAATTGACTCCGGACCTTCTAGCTCCTAAAGCAGGAAGCAATTAAGTAGCGTCACGATATTGTAGGTAGATCGAAGGCAATTTTCATGATTTAACGGATAATCAAGCTAATGGGTAATTACACCGCGTGCAATAATAGACACCAGAGACATAATGCGAGACCACAATTATGCGTATGTATATTGTATAAGGAAGTCATACAAATTTCGTTGTAAAAAGGAAAACATAATCTTATTTTTATCCTGTTAAATTTTCGTATTATAACCGGACGTCGTGTAGGCTCCGAGTTTGTCCAAAGAAAAGTAAAATGGAAAGGAAAAAGAAATGAAAGAGGATAATCTTTAGAAAGCTCGCCCCTTTTTTACCAAAGTAAAACGTGCATATTCCGTTGTCCTTGCGGTGACGTCGTCTGCTGCAATGCGACACAGTCCATAGTGAGAGCGAAGAAAATAAGAGAAGAATGAAAGAGAGAGAGAAAGGGGTGGGGTGGGAGGGGAAGAGAGAACGAGAAGAATAATCGAAGGATCAAAAGTTATATTTTTATTTTTTTTCCAATTGATCGGTGGCTTTCGACGAACGAAGGGAAAAAGAAAGAAAAAAAAAAAAACAGATAAGAAAAACGGAAGGTACAATTGTCCCGTGACTTCGTAATTGAATAATAAAATTATCGTTGATAAAGGGAAAAAGAAATAGGAAGAGAGATAAATTAGAGTAAACAATTGCAAACTCGAGGATAAAGTATACGTTGGTTTTACCTCGATCAATTAGCTTACTCAAGCTCCGTTGGGACGAGCAAAAAGTATGATTATTCTTTCATGTACCGTATGCGTGTTATTCAATATTCAGACATGTCTATGCCATATATAAATGGACGTAAAGCTGACGTTAAATCTAAGCATTATTAATAACTTTGCTAATGGCTAAATCGTGACTGTGTCAATTATCCGTTAAATGTCATCGAACTCGTCGATACTACGAGTCATATCTACGAGTCGATTTTTATCGATATAGTTTACTTGGTTGACAATTCATTTAGAAAAACTAAAGTCGTAGATTATGGTATTAAGACAAGAACGAGCTGTTAAAAAACTCGCGAAGAGAGAGAGAGAGAGAGAGAGAGAGAGAGAGAGAGAGAGTTAATAGTTGGAAAGTATTAAAATGGTGATTTCGTTCATAGAGAAACAGCTTGTTCTGCTCTTTGGTTGATCTCGTAACAGAATCCATACCGAATACGATCCCTGTATTACGTGTATACACGTACGTAGTATCTTCCCTATCTCGTTCCAACTCTCGTCCTACGAAAGAGAGGGAAATAGAAGAGCAAAAGGGTGCATACGGTAATACCCTATCGAGCGAGCTTCTC